CCTCCGCCCGCCCGGGGCGGGGGGGGCGGCGCCGAGGGCGGGCAGCGGAGGGGGCGGAGCTTCGCTCCCATGGAAGGGCCGTTGGCGCCAGGCTTTGCCCGCCTCGGCTGCTGAGGAGGAGGAGGACGAGCCTAAGAGGAGCCTCTACCAAGCAGAAAACTGCCTGCCAGGAGCTTCTGCCTGTTGTAAGGCTGTTGGGCACCAGAGAGGATCCAGCAGCACAAGACAGCCGTAGTAAGCTCTGAAAACCTGCCTGGCAAAGAAATGTTTCTGTCAGTTTACTGACAGGACCCACACCGCTTACAAATACCTTTTCAGGTATTTTGTCTACGACTTACTTTTTTTTGTTCATTTCTGTTCATTTCCTCATTTTTGTGTATCTTGTTTCCCAACGTCTGTTTTCCTCCTGGTAGCAATTCAACGGCCTTTAGTGCTGATGAAAGTCCTTCATTCGGGTACCTTTTAACCCCATCAGCTAAAATAATTGGTATAGTTAGTGCAAATGAGTTCAAAGACCCATTAAAAACCCGTTCTCCAGAAAGGTCAGTGAGGAGAACTCTTCCCTCAGAGTTAGGAGGCACCCTGCAGACAAGACAAACACTAGGTAAAATTTGAATTACATGGAAATCATCTCTGCTACCACAAAACCCTCAGTCTTTCGGGTTTTATCTTTTTAAATAAACACATATATTCCAAGATCTTACAGAACCCACATTTATCAGACTATAAAAACGCAAGTTACAAAAATTCAGTGGGCTTTAGGTCTGAACAACCTTCTTGAAAATAAATTACCTTATCTTGGAAATTGCCAGGAAATCCACCCGGAGACCCACAGGGAATCTCAGCCTGCTGTGAGGCACAGTCCAGCAGTGCGTGTCCGTCCCCCTGCTTCTTGAAGGGCCCTAGAAAACCATGTTAATTTACTTTCACCTATCAGCCAGCAGTACTCATGAAATCTGAGCAGTGAAAATAACTGCTTTATCAATAGATATAATAAGAGGTGAATTGTCTGAAATCAACAGGAGGTTTGGAAACAATATTTTCCCCTTAATGCTGAAAATTTATCAGCAAGATTTAAGCAGTACCTAATTTTAAATAGGAATATGTTGTATTTATTGGTGATCAATAAAATGTTATCTTTTGTTAAAATGAATCAACTACATTCAGGATTATTAAATGACATAATATAGGCACTGACAGCCAGACAAGAACATGAATATTACTGGTTTCAGCATTTCTCTATGTATTATTATACTGCAATGCACTAATGCTTTGCATAAGTGTTCCAAGAAAGCAAGTCAATTATATGATACATTTTGTTATTAACTGGTGGTTGCTGGGTTGCTTTCATTTTGATTAAAAAACAAACAAACAAACAAAAAAAACCTAGTCTGCTTATTTAGAAGACACCCTCTAAGCAGAGAAAGACCTTGCTTTACAATTATGTTCCTTCAACAAGTTAAGCTAACTTCCAGTCTGAGGGTATAATTTGTATTTCTAGGGTTTTTTTAGCTCTTCAGCTAAGCTTTAATTTTTTACTATTTAAAAATTAAGTACCACACACTCTTGAGAAAATTAAAGTTATCTTTATATGAGGTTTTAAGACATGAATGTCCTATAGTAACTGACAGATTTAAGTAGCAAGCTGTCACCACCTGAAAAGCTATGCATTTTTTCAACCTTAGCACAATTAATAGCAATTACTGCAACTCCAAAGATATTTTACATCCTTCTGATTCCTTATACTAGGTGAAAAGATGTCTACTATTTTCTTGGCATGAGTTGCTTTCGTATTTCAGACTAAGATTTGAATCATGATCACAGATTTCCCTGCAAGGCTTTTTACCATCTGTATTATCAGATAAAGCCATTGTTATAATCTATTACCAGCATTTTAAGCCTTTTACAATTATATTCTACCACGTACAGGATCCAGGATGTACACTATGGACAATCAAGCAATACAATATTAAGACCAAATACAGTATCACCAGCAACTACAGATCTAGATCACCATCAGGGATGCTTGTAAACTAAAAATTACTTTGTGTGCCAGATGCTGATACTTCTTTGTATAGATACTTGTCACTTCCCTTTCATGCATTCAACTAATAACTGCTATTTTTCAGGCAATGAGGGCTAAAGTAACATTCAAAAAAACAACCAGGTATCACCAATGGAATTTACACTTCTAGTGACAACTACTGAAGTCACTTTAATACATTTAAGCGAACCCTATGAAATTAAAATAGCAGTGGTACACAGACTAGCATGTCTCAACACAGATGACAGCAGCTAGTAGTACTTTAATTACATCCATTCGTCTTGGACAATACTACTGCAGATGCTAATTCTCATATAATATGCCACCTAAAAATGGTACCACAGAAACCCTTCTATAATCTAGGAATTTATAACAACTGTGTAAATTTGAAACAAATTTAAGTATGTCCTAGAACTTTGGAGAAATACTGCTTTCAAACAAGAGTCTCACCACTTCCACAGTGAATTGCAAAGCTATAAGCTATTTACTGTTGTTTTAGTGGCTACATATGAAAGAATTTTATTATAAGTCATCTAGTAATTACGAGATTCACAGGTAGAAAAAAATGTTGAAACTGGACTTAAGTCTACCCGAAAGTATACTGCTAAGTACTTTTATTTTTCCTTTGAACAGTGCTTAAAAGCCAGTGCTTTTTCATCTTGCTTATGCACTACCATCACTAAACTAGTACATAGAAAATAACCACTAGAAATTCAGGTTCTGAGAAATTTGTAACTCATTGCTACCAAACAATAAAAGTATGCTTAATTAAAGGCGATTTTTTCATTCTCTGTACCTGTTAAGAAGTCAGTTCCCTCGGGTAGGCATTTAAAAATAACAGGAGTTATATCTGGTTTAAAAGGCTGAATTACTAACTCCTTAATGTTTTTGTAGTTTAATTTGTATATTTACCTGTTTGATACTTCTAGCTTTGTTTTGGTTTGTTGTTGTGTTCCCCCCCCCCATCTTTATAAAATCCAGGTTCCAATTCTAAGGTTTACTAAGGTTTACTTCTATTATTAACTTTCTTCTTTTTTTTTTTTTCTACTTATCTGCCAATAAGGACAAAACCTGTAGCATAAGCACTATCAGGCCAGCCTGAAATTAGTATGATAGTACCCATCTGTAACTTCAGGTATTTGGCAGAAGCTATATCAGATAGGATTGACACAGGAACAAATTCAATAAAAAAAAAGCAAGTACTGTAAATACACTGCATACAAATAAGCCATGTAAGCCAATGCAGAACAATGAGGAAATTACATTATTAAAAGTTTTTATTTAGGTTTGGTCAGTACAGGTAAGATAATATTGGAGTCACAGAGCAATATGCATAAACAGGATACAACAGTTCTTAAAAACTGAGTAACTATGCACACAATCCATAAACATTCGGTCACCTAAGGAGAAAATGCACAGATGTATGGTGGGAAAAACTGTAATTAACACTGAAACTACTACAGGACTCCTTCAGTAAGTCCATCTTTTAGTGATAAAACTACTGTACTGGGCAAACTTGGCAGTCATAAACCCACAGCTATTACGACAAATCTTGAAGGTGGTGTAAGTATAACAGTATGAGTAAGAATGCCCTTACACAGCACAGGTTCTAGATATACACAGATTTGTACAGACATCATTTATGTTATACTTTATGGAAATAACTTCCATTTCAACTTCACATTAACTCATATAAAAATAACTTGAGCTACACAAACGTCCTTTTAGCAACATTCAACGTAATTAACTGTTAAAATTTCCAAAGTGGCAGAGGTATTGAAGCAAAAAGAAACCCACAAAAAGGCAAAATTGTGACAAGTATGCACTAATTTAAACAGCTTCTGGACAGTATCCTCTCCCAATTTAAATGACACTGTATAAAAATGTTGCAGAAAAACGTTACAAAACTGAACCCTGCACATTTACACTGGAGTCCAAACCATTCTGGACATGACGGGAACCCACAGTTCTGTTACCTTTCATGCTCACTGTTTTCTCCTCTTGAGGATCATGATTGGAGTCTGTGTCATTTGAGTGGTGAGTGAGAGAGTTTTCACTGCCAGTGGGAGAGTCTACACTTTCATACCCAGTACTGAGTTGGTTTATGTAGCTACCACCTCCTCTACCAGTTCTATCTTCAGAGTGGTTGGACAGCTTATTACCATTCCCTGGAGAAGCCGGGAAGTCATCTTCCGTGCCGCTACCCTCCCTATAAAATCCAGGCCCAGACGTCCGCTGATGGGAGGAGCTACCATTGCTTGGTCCGTTTGCCAGGCGGCTGCAGTCTTTACCCACAGCCTCTCCCTGGTCTGTAGGCTCAGAAGATGGAGTCCTGCTGGTACCGGGGTTGGAGGCCTGGGACTGCTGCTGCTGGTACTGTGCCAACTGCTGGCGAGTCTCCTTCAACTGCTGCTGAAGAACTAGAATGGTACTCTGCATACCCTCTACCTCCTCATCAAGCTGGATGATGAAGTCATTCAACTCTATATAAAGAAAA